TAGATTTTTCACTGTAGTCTTTCAGTTTCCAGGAAAGCCAAAACGTGCCTTTCTGTGCCCTTTCAGCACAGTGAGCTATGATTTTAGGCTCTGCAGGCTGCATTTTAGTTTTCCTGAGTGTTCATTAGTTTGACAAATATCTGTTCTGACCTGAAGCATTTACATTCCAACCCCAAATCAGTCCCAGCATGTTGTTGTCCCCCGGAAGGTGTCTGGGGCTCACCGATGGCTCCTCAAGGAAGAGGACAGTGCAGGGCGCCTAGGATGGTAGCTCCCAGCCTCTCCCTCCAGACTTCAGCGCAGCGTTGCAAGTAACCTCGAAGTAGCTCGTGTCAAATCACAACCAGCACGTGGCTGACCCTGTGTCCCCGGTGAGCATGGCACTGTCGGGTGGGGGAGACTCAGAAGAAGAGACAAGGGTCATCTCTGCTTTCAACATCGCTGTGTACCCCGCATCTGGCACAAGGCGCAGCACACGTGAGACAATAAAAATAATGAACAAGTGAACAGAAGCCTCGAGAAGCCCGACGCAGGGAGCGTTAAGGACGTGTGTTAATTTTCTGTCAGAGGCCCCTTAGGTGGTAGTTCAACCCCAAGGGGTGCAGGGATTCTGAGAAGCAAGAGATTGTTCAGCCTGAAGTTATTAGGGATGACCCAAGCTCTAATCTTCAGGAATAAGTGCTTTGGGGCGGGGCAGTAAGTGCTTTTGGGCCTGGTATGGTGGCACATTCTTATAATTTCAGTACTCTGAGAAGTGAGTAGAATCACAAATTCAAGCCCAGTTTGGACAACTTAGTGACTTAGTAAAACCCCATCTCAAATTTTTTTTTTCAAAATTTAGGAGTTTAACAAAAGGCTAAGGGTGTGGCTCAACACTAAAACCAGAGGCTCAGTACCCAGCCATGCGAAACACTACACAGAAGACTCTGAGCACGGAGGTCCATAGCTGTAACCCCAGCTAGTAGAGGAGAATTATGGGTTTGGGCCAGCCCAGGGTGCTTAATGAGATCCTGTCTCAAAAAAGGGACTGAAGATGTAGCTCAGTGAGAATGCCCCAGTACCACAAAGAACCAGAACAAAAGGTAGAGGAATCACCAGTAGGTCCTGGGCCAAAGCTTGCTTTCTAATTAGTTGCACTACAATTCAGAATGATTCTTTCATTTTTTTTAAATTTTGGGGGCCAGCAAGATAGCTCAGTGCACTAAGTGCAGGGACCCCGGCACCACATGCCACACCAGTCCCGACCCTGGGCATGTTAAGCTGGCCACTGAAACTGGGTGTGTGGTGCACACCTGTAATCCCAGCTCTGGGGAGGCTGAAAACAGGAGGATCACTATGAGTCCAAGCTGCGTAGTGAGACCCTGTGCCAAATACATATAATAATAATGATGAAATGTTGAGACAAGGTCTTGCGAAATCACTCAGTTGCCCAGGTTAGGTTTCTGATCCTCCTGCCTTGACCTCGCAGAGTGCCGGGTTACAGGCGTGTGCCACCATGCCTGATTCAAACAACTTTCAGTCTGTTCCTCTGCCTTCAGCTTTCAGGGACCATCGCAAACCTTCATGGCCTTGTTAAGCTCCTCCAACAGCACAGGACACCACCAGAGAGAAATGGATTAGGAGAGAGCGGTCAAGAAACGCAAGGTTCTGGGCTGTGGAGACTGAGGGGGAAGGCAGCACCAAGCACTCCGGGTGGCCCAGTGGTGGGAAAGAAAAGCGAACAGATTCTTTCCAAAAGGGACCTAGCCTTGCCAGCAGGCCGTTCCCACCAAGTACAACATCCAAGCCTGGCAAACATCTAACCTACAGAGCTGTAAGGAGCAACTTGGCACCTTGAGACGCTCGCCTGCGCCTGGAAGCCACACTACATTAGAGAACCCGTGCACTAGCTTTACCCTAAAAGCTCTCAGTTCATGGTTTTTTTGTTTTTTGTTTTTTTTTTTTTGGGTGGGGGAAGCTTTTACTTTCCATTGTGGGAAGTCCCTCCTGGTTCCTGTCTTGGTCCAAGAAGTCTATGTTTGTAATCCCAAAAATATGCTATTGGAATCCCATCAAGTTAATTCCAATCTACCACTCCCAGTGCAATCCACGACAAAAATAAAGACACAGGCATATTTATAATTATGGGGATCAAAAGGACTTAGACAAAGCCTAAGTCCAGCCATGAAGACGGCTTTCTGGAACAAAAGGGTGGAACCAGGGCCAAACCCAGGTTTTATTCAGTTGTAAAGGAGGAGTGGCTTGAGGATGAAATGACTGAGATTTGTGGGAAGCAGGTGAGTACTGTGAGCTGAGCTAGGTAGGAGGCCTGCATTTACCTCTGTCACATGCAGAGAAAGCAATTTGCATTATACTATTGGGATAGTATCTAATGTTTTGGGGTCGGGTGCTTCAGCTCTAATGTGTAATCTTTCAAGCTCCAGGAAGTCAGCCTCTGTCTCGAGGCTCAATCCCAGCGACAGGTGGAGCATTGGCTCTTGGTCCTGTCTTGGCCTGGTGCATATCAAAGAGCAGCAGGTGTGGGTTATCAGGGAAACACATGTGCCATCTTCAAAGACTACTACCACCACCTTGTTTAGACCAATATGCACTGCTTAAGGCCACCTGAACATGATATAGTGAGAAAATGATCTTGGTGGATGACCTCCAAATGATATAGGGGAAAAAATGAAACTCCCAACCTGAAAGATTCCTGGGATGAGTGTGTTCTTTAAAACATAAGAATAAATTTTAGGAACAAACAGAGGTTAAGAGCAGAATTGTTTATTGGAGGAAAGAAAGCTACTGGCTGAGAGAGGGACAGGAGGGGGGCCCGAGTGGGTTGTCCCTGGGAAGCTGTCTCTTCCAGGGACTTCTATAGTGTAGAACCGTGCAGGTCTAAGGTGGAGAGCATGGGCTAGCTTAGGTGGGCATGAGGTGGGACAAAATATGGTCAACCAATGAGACTGCAAGCACCACTGCTCAGGTAAAATTGATTAAGTCCAGGACCAAATGGGGAAATGAGTCACGTAGCAAGTGGGCATGAATATAGAGCAGGACTTTATCCAGTAGCCAGCCAGTAGTAGTTGGACTAATGATTCTTTCTGGCTTCCTCAGGGTGATCAATCCTGAATGCTAATCTTTAGGGAGGTCGGCATTTATTCGATCTTTGGTCTTTATGTCTAGCCCACAACAGGAGCATCCGTCCCTCTTACAATTGTAGGGTATCTTGTCTTCTTTGTTATCTCGTTGAGGGTGCCTAGCCCTGTCTGAATGCCTATAATATTTCTAATTTATCTGCCTACAACAAAAGGATAAAGAGAAGTCCCAGCCAGCTCTGTACATATTAATACAAGGAAATAGCATCAGGCTCAGCCAAAATGGGGATGATCGCCTTTCTTTCTAGGAGAGTGCTTAGGTGGTCCTCCACATTCCACATTAATTTATTTCTCTTAGAAGTTTTTTCTTTTTCGTGGTACTGGGGACCGAACTCAGGACCTTGCACTTGCCAGGCAAGTGGTTATTCTACTGAGCTATCTCCCCGGCCCTCTTAGAAGTTTCTTAGAACATCTATTTACTCATAAAAATGTTCAAGTAGAATATCATATTACTAAAATGACAAAGAATAAAGATGAACGTATTCTTCAATGTTAGGAGTACAGAGTGTTCAGAAATTTGGCAATATTCCTATGGACAGTGTAGTGTGGTAGCTTAGGGTAGGGCAAAACTAGGTAAGCAAGTGGGCGTGACCTGTCAGTCCAGGACAATGGTGCAGACTGTGGAATTAGGGAAGGCTACCGTTCCCAAACCCTTTCAGTTCTTCATTTACTTCTGCTGTGAAACTATGGGAGCCTTCGATAGGACAGCATAAATGTGACTGCAGGCCAAGTAAGTTTCTAACAGGGTTACAATCAGCTAAATTAGACAAAAATATTATAGGCAGTCAGGGCCAGGCCCTCAGGGAGACAATATGGAAGACAAGGTGACTGCAAGGAGAGTCTGTCTCTTCTTCCTCGGGACAAAAGAGTGAACAAATGCAGCCACATGCGTCCCTAAGATGAGCATCAGGGATGGATATTCTAAATAGGTACCAATCACCTTAAAAGAGCCCCAAAGAGTTACTAACTCAACCCCCAACAGGAAGAGACCCTGTCTTGTATTCATGACTGTTTGCTTCATGACTTGCTTGCTCATTTGGTCCTGAGTTTAATCAATTTTACCTGAGCCATGGTGCTTGTAATCTCATTAGTTGACCATAGTTTTGCCCCACCTCATGCCCACCTAAGTGAGTTCCCATGTTCTCCACCTTGGACCAGCCTCACCGGATGGTTTTACTCTATAAAAATCCTTGGAAGACAGCTTCTCAGGGCAACCCTTTCAAGTCCCTCTTCTGTCCCTCTCCTGGATGGGAGCTTTCTTTTCCCCCAATAAACATTCTGCTCTTCACCTCCATTTGTACCTAAAATTCATTCTTTGTTTTAGAGACCACGGACTCGCCCAGGTACCTTTCAGGTCGGGAGTTTCCTTTCCCTCTATCACAGTGACGCAGCAGGCAACTTCTAGCTTGCCTCACCTATCCTGGTCCTTGTCCGCTCTCCCTTGCCAGTGGGCAGGGAATGGACTTTAGCCTCCTGGGGTCAGCATCTGCATCTTCTGCCCATTTATCTAGGCTGAAGAGAGGAGGGGTGGAGCTTATGCGCTAGGCCAGAGGAAGTAATTAAATGGCTAAGTTAGGTAGAAAGATTACAGGCAGCAGGTGCAGGAGATGTCAACTCACTGCCGCTGTGGGGGAGGCGCATTCCTTCAAGGCCAGACCTGAAGACAACAGACGGAATCAGTGCGCCCACACGCTTCCCCTGGGGATGAACAGCAGGGCTTGATATTCTAGGTAGGTACCGACCACCTTGGGTGGGGAGCCAGAAGAGCTACTGACTTCTCGCTCTGGGAAAAGCCTCTGCTCCATCCCAAGTCTCCTTTCTGGGTGACTCCGCCTGCCCTCTAATCCCCGTCTAATCAGCGTTACCTAAGCACTACACTTATAGTCTCTGCAGGGCACCCTTGCGCGGGGCCATGCGAGTGTTCTCTGCCTTGTTCCAATTTTAGTGTATGCGCTGCCGAAGTGAGCACTATACTCGTGATCTTCCTGGTGGACCGTAGTTCGGTCCCACCTCATGCCCGCCTTGTGGTTTCCCACTGAATCAATGTTACTTCAGTGATCATATGCATAATCTTATTAGTTGATTATAGTCTTTACCACCTTGGGCCCCCTCCCCTTGTGGTTTTGCTGTATAAAATTCCCTTGAAAAGCGGGGTCCTCAGCAACCCACTTGGGACTCCTCTGTCTCTCTTAGAGGCTTTCTTTCCCAATAGATAGCTTCTGCTCTTAACCTCCCTTGTTCCACGGATCCATTCTTCAATTTTCAGGAATCTGGACTCGTTCTGGATGTCTAGTATTTTGGGAGTTTCTTTCCCCTCTGTCACAAGTCTTTGTCTCTGAGGAAACAACAAATTAACATTCCATATTACTGTGTAGGATACAACGTGAGTATTGCTTCCCCTAGTGTTTTGAAGCATATTAAGTGAAATTGAAATATTTAGTCATATGTTGCCTCAGTTGATATTTACTTAGAAAATGCTCCTACTAGTAGTGAGACTAGAAGTTAGGGTGTGGCTAGCCTGACTGGGAAAGGAGGCGTGACAAGATCCTGCAGTGCGGGTGCAGTGCAGCTCCCAAAGCCCTGCACGCAGACTTCTTGAGAGAAATCAGGCAGGTTCGTTACAGGATGGCCTAGGCCTGACACCTGCCTGAGGAGCGGGACACACAAAAAGCAGAGCCCATGTCACATTCTTGCCACTGTGTTCTCTCTGGGGTGGCTGCCTCATGCTGTGGGCTTTACCTTTTTTCCTACTTGATGGCCCTCTCCAGTTTTCATGCCCACTTCCTACGTGACTTGCTTCCTCATTTGGTACCAGATTTAATCAATTTTACCTGAGCAGTGGTGCTTGTAATCTCATTGGCTGACCAGAGTTGTCCCCCCTCATGCCCACCTAAGTGCGTTCCCATGTTCTCCACCTTAGACCCACCTCACTGCATGGTTTTACTTTACAAAAGTCCCTGAAAGAGACAACTTCCTGGGGGCTTGCACATTAGCTCAGTTGTTTAAAGTGCCTGCTTGGGCAAACTCAGTCAGGTGCAGGGGATGGCAGTTCAATCCAGTTCCACATGCCATACCAGACCTGCCCGTAAGGCAGCCTGAGCTGGAGAGAGAGAGAGAGAGAGAGAGAGAGAGAGAGAGAGAGA